GTAAGTAAGTAAGTAAGTAAGTAAGTAAGTAAGTAAGTAAGTAAGTAAGTAAGTAAGTAAGTAAGTAAGTAAGTAAGTAAGTAAGTAAGTAAGTAAGTAAGTAAGTAAGTAAGTAAAGGCAACCAGACCCCAATTCTGTATCAAGTAAAAGCAGAATGGATCCAGCTGGTCAATTCTGAGCCGTGGAAATAAATAAATATATATGTCTCTGCCCAGTCCAGCACAGATGCCCGACTCTTTGTGAAATCAAGCATTCTTAAGAAATTTAATGTGGCGGCAAACACAGCGGGAGAGAGGAAGAAACGCCTCCACAGAACGGCAGAGCATGGCACGGCCCCTGGGCAACCGTGCCAAAAATATCCCCACACAAATTAAGAATATAGTTGTTGTTTTTTTAAAATGTGAGTAAGTCCCACCCCATTTGTTTCTTGCTGCTGAGCCTGCTTTGTGGATACAGCCAGTTCATTCTTCGTACTTGGGCTTCGCTTCCCTCTCTTTTTCAGGAGCCCTGCTTTTGTGACATTCATAGCCTTAAACAACACCACACTGACGCTTCAGAAAGCAAAAAAGAAGGCTTGGCGGCATCTGGACGACCAGGTCTAAGCAGGGTGGATAAAAACCAATGATTTTCTAAGAAAATCAATGATTTTTTAAAAAAAAAATTACGATTTTCTAAGAAAATCAATGATTTTTTTTAAAAAAAATTAAATTGATTTAAATTGTGATTTAAATCATGATTTAATTTTTTTTAAAAAATCAATTAAAAAAATATTAAATTGTGATTTGAACCAAATCCACCCGGGATCTAAACTTCATAATACGGGGCATGCATGACCACTTGCCCCAAACTGCTTTCATACCTTTATCAATTTAAAAAAAATATTAAATTGTGATTTGAACCAAATCCACCCGGGATCTAAACTTCATAATACAGGGCATGCATGACCTTTAGCCACTTGCCCCAAACTGCTTTCATACCTTTAGACCAGCCGGAAGACAAACCCAGACAATTGAAATTCCCTAACGATTCCCATCATGTCTGAACCACGAAAAACAGTCAATGGTTGCCGAACAAGCCAGGACTCAACAAACTGTGGTTTTAAACTATGGCTTCCAAATCTTGGCTTGTTCAGAAAATACTAACCGTCCTTCACAACCTGGCCACAAGAAGAAATGATGATTAACTGCATCCTTCTGGCTTGATTTGCCCTTTGCACAAAGGGAGAATCATAGCGGAAGCCAAAGGACCGTATGGGGATGGGTTCAGCTTGCACCTATCCTGGCTTACTCAGAGCCAGCAGCTCTTCTAAGGAAGCACGAACAGCTTCAGGGTTTGGCCCCCAATGGCACGATTCTCCTTCTGGGAGTTACAGGCCGTATATCTGCAGCTTCGAAGCTCTGACTCAGAGCTACAGAAAGTCAATCCTTCCTGGAGTGCTGAGCTGGGAAATGGTAATACAGTGGTGCCTCGCACAGCGAGGTTAATCCGTTCCGGATTAACCCTTGCTGTGTGAAACATCGCTGTACGGAAAGAAAAAAAGCCATTGGAAGACTCAGAGCTTAGTTTAATGCGTTCCAATCGGCTGATTTATTCACCGTACAGCGATGTTCCTCTATGGCCGGCAGCCATTTTTGCGCCCTCCCCTCGCTTAACGAGGGCGCGAAAACGCTGCGCGCGGCCATTTTGGGGCTTCCAGCGGCCATTTTGAAACTGCGGAACAGCTGATCGGCGGGTCGCAAAGCGAAGGTTGGTAAGCAAACCGCTTACCGACCTTCGCTCTGCGATTTTCGCCTATTGGGGTCGTCGCTCTGCGATCGCATTAGCGATCGAAAAAACGTCCCCGTAGAGCGAATTCATCACTCTATGGGGCGCTCGTTGTGCGAGGCACCACCCTCCTGAGACTGGGGTTTGGGGGAAGGAACAGACCTTAAGGTGGGAGAGGACCACAATCTGCCCAGGTGAAATCAAGCCTGGAAGGGGCAAACCAGTTGGCCACCTCTGTTTTCTCTGGCCATTGTCCTGCTCACACTTACCTCAAAGGCAACGAAGTCATCAAACTCATCAGGACAGGCAGAAGGTGGCTCCTCGTGGGCATACGTCATAGCACAGAGCTGATGTTCAGGATCGGCTGCAAAAACATGAAAAACGGAAATGCTGTATTACAGAAGGGAACACCACCGATTCAGCTCTGCACATCACTGTGTCCCAAGCAAGGGGGCAGGAGATTGGCCAGGAGAAAGACATGGAAGCCTGCATTCACCCGACGTTCTGCAGAAGGTTTCCTGTCCTCAAGGTCAGTCAGATACTTGGGCTTTCACGAAAACTCCGATATATAAGGAGTGGTATTACCCATGCCACCCCCACCTCACGGGGGGTTCTATGGCCAGGTGGGGATTCAAACCCAGGCCTCCTGAGTCTCGGTCCATCACCCTACCCACCACACCACACTGGGCGTCTTGCCTGTAATCCAGGATGTTGGAAATGACAGGCCATTACTCTTTGTCCCAAGCGTCACTTTGTGCTGGCATTGTATCTCTACGCATCGGCTGGAGGAAGTCTGGGTCTGGTATAACTTGGCTCTATCCTGCCTCCTTTTTAGACTCTGCACAGATCTGAGCGACAGAGAGGTTCTGCTGGCAGATTCCGCCGCTGGCAGATTTCCAAGATCAACCGGCGGAAGTGGGTTCTGCCAGCGGACGGGAAGATCGGTTACCACCAGCCTCTGCCAGCAAAAGAAGGATCCGCCTTTTGAAACCCCATTCCCACTGGCTGATCTTGGGAGTTAAGACCACACCGTCTTGTGGCGAGATGCTCTTAAGTCCTCGTTTTAGAAAAAGGAAGGTCATAACATGAAAGACAAACACACATCAGATTTGCACCATGTACTGAAAGCTGAAAGTGTGCTTGACTTATTGACCCAGCGTTGCTTTACTAGCGAGTGAGAATTTTATTTGGCTGTACTGTATTTCTTTTTCATTCATAATTTTCTGAATAAAGCTAGCATTAAAAAAAATAATAAATTCAAATGCCGGGAAAAGCAAAATGGATAGATTTGCATGATGGCTACTAGTAGTGATGCTTTGAAAATTGTGCATTTAACCATGCTGTGCTGAATTGGTCGCCACAGCTTTTTCTTGAAAGGCTCCTCATCTTTAACAGCTGTAAGGCCAGCACAGATAACAGCCGAATTTTTGAAATGTACCTAGTACTGAAAGTGGCGAATCTCGAATATATCAACATTCACAAGTATCTCCATACTTTTTCAGGAAAGACTGGAATGTAGGAGCAGAACTGCTGGATAACTCAGTGGTTTAAGTGTTTGGCTGTGAAGCCAGAATTTGGGAGTTTGATTCTTAGGAGCAGAACTGCTGGATAAACTCAGTAGTTTAAGTGTTTGGCTGTGGAGCAAGAATTTGGGAGTTTGATTCCTCCACGGTGCCTCCTGGACAGAGGCTAGAATGGATGATCTCATGGGGTCCCTTCCAGTTCTGCAGTTCTAAGATGATGATTATTATATAAACTGTGTGATTCATCCATTTATAGCTGTCGCTTACACCTCACCCACATGCTCCCAAACATACCAAATTAGTTATTTTGATGCTTTTGGATTCTCAAGACAGTAAAGTATTCTAGCTCTCCCACCCACATGCTGCCCACTTGAGGTTTGGGACCCTATCCATTCACCACTGATGAGCTTCGGTGTCCAAAACATCTGGAGGGCATCAAGTAGGGAAGGCTAAAAATCCACACAGGCACCTTTGGAAATGAATATCCCAGCAGTTGCATAAAAAAGGATTTAAAGCCTAAGTGCCAAGAAATATTGAAGCTTTGCATTTTGAAAAAATGCTTGAATTCCAAAAACCTGGATTTTAAGACAGTAACTCGTTACTGAAACTCAATGACATTGCATCGTTTTCCCTCCAGAAATCCAATAGTAGCTTTAGATGGAAGTAGTAAGTAGGGAAGTGGATTCAAATTAAAGAAATCGTTTTCACTTGCAGTATATTCTTTGAACATTTTGTCTACTTCCCACCCTGCAATACTCACACGCTCTCATCAAATTCATTTTAATTCTGCCCAGATCCGGCCTCCCCGGCCGCAAGAATATAAATCAATTCATTGCACAGTTTTTCAGCTAAAAAAAGCAACACAAGGGCAGAAAAGGTCACGGTGAGAAAAAAAAAAATCAAACCCTGCCTTTTTGAAGGTTGCGCTTTTCACCTGAGCCACTCACTGCCTCCCTCCCTCACAAAGAGGCGAAACGATTCTATCAGAATCGGTCCTCTGCAGGTGACGTCGAACACATGGGCATCTTGACAAATTAGATCTCTTAACCAGGATGCATGACGGCTGAGGGTAATACCGTAAGTCATCCTGAAAAATGAGCCTGGATCCGCTCTTTAGCTGGTAGCACAGCATCATCGTAAGGCTGGCCCGCCCTTTCCACACACCCCAGCGGTATTCTCCCTGGCAGATTTAGAGCTGCTAATTCTGCATCCTGCAGCCGTACAGGATGGCAACAGTTCCCCTACAGGGGGGATTTGCCATTGTCTGCTGTGAATCATGACAACACATCCCCACATGCTCCTTTTAAACAGGAATACATTGAGGTTCTGCATTTCTGATGTACATTTCGCCCCAGGAACGGGATAAAAAGAAATCTGTTTTCCAAAGATGTTGCAATTTTTAGTAGGGACTATAGATGTGTGTGTGTGTGTGTGTGAGAGAGAGACAGAGAGAGACTCTATTGCTTCCACTTTTTTCCTGCATTTACAGTGGTGCCTCGCTAGACAGTTACCCTGCATGACAGTTTTTTCGCTAGACATTGACTTTTTGCAATCCCTATAGCGATTCGCAAAACAGTGATTCCTATGGGGGAGTTTCGCCGGACAGTGTTTGGTCCCTGCTTTGCAAAGCGATTTTCGCTAGACGGCAATTTGCTTTTCACTAGACAATGATTTCGCTAGACAGCAATTTCAGTGGAATGGATTACCATCGTCTAGCGAGGCACCACTGTAATCTTTTTTTTTTTCTGTCCCTGAATAAAAACAACATTCTTCGCCATTGGCACTTACCAAATTCAACATAAACAGTTATTTCCACCTTGTGGTATCTTTATGCCATACAGGTATTATAGGAGATAAATTTCCCAGGGGAATAAAGGCAGCCTCCAGCCTCATTTAGTCGGTACCGCAAGCCTGGCTGAATTTACAGGAATTCAAACCCTGTATTTCAACTTTTCATCCAGGCTGGACTAGAGGGAACCCAAACCAGAATTAAGATTGCTGGAAGAAATATCAACAACCTCTGATATGCAGATGATACCACTCTGATGGCAGAAAGTGAGGAGGAATTAAGGAACCTTGTAATGAGGGTGAAAGAGGAGAGTGCAAAAAACGGTCTGAAACTTAACATAAAAAAAAACTAAGATCATGGCCACTGGTCCCATCACCTCCTGGCAAATAGAAGGGGAAGATATGGAGGCAGTGCCAGATTTTACTTTCTTGGGCTCCATGATCACTGCAGATGGTGACAGCAGCCACGAAATTAAAAGACGCCTGCTTCTTGGGAGGAAAGTGATGGCAAACCTCGACAGCATCTTAAAGAGACATCACCTTGCCGGCAAAGGTCCGCATAGTCAAAGCTTTGGTTCTTCCAGTAGCCATGTACGGAAATGAGAGCTGGACCATAAATAAGGACGACGGTGGAAGAATTGATGCTTTCCCCCCCACTGTTCCTCTTTGACAAAGGTTGGACTTGATGATCTGTAGGGTCGCAGATGAGGTGTGGCACAGTTTAATCTTCTTTCTTGGCAGAGTCAAAATCTGCTGTTAGCACTGATTCCTTGGATCTTAGCTTTCTTTACATTGGTTTGGAGTGCTTGTTCTTGTGCAGCAAAAATCAAGCCTTCGGTTTCTTTCTTAAGGGTCGCCAGTTCTAACCACACTGATGATGAATCATTGTCATGCCTTCCATCAATGTTTCACTGCCTTAAGTAATTTTTCTCTACTTGTACTAATATAATCATTTAGGGTTTGTTTTTCCTCCTCTACTACCTGTTAATCCACAGCCTCTGATTCTTCATGGTAAATATAATCTGTCCACGTCACTTTCGGATGCAGTACGTGATCCATGTTCATTAGTTTCTGTGTTTTTCAATCCAATTCTCCCAATTCATTTGAGTCCAATCTATTATTCCAGCTGGGTATCTAATTGCTCGAACTGCCCATGTGTTTATGGCTTTGATTGTATTTCCCCCATTTAATGTTGATTGTAAGATTTACCGCAGTGTATATTCCCTTCCTGTCAGTTCTTTAACTTTTGAGTGCACAATACACTACAGCGGGGTCTTGACTTGAGAACTTAATCTGTATTAGAAGGCAGTTCTCAAGTAAAAAGTCTGTAAGTCAAGTCTCCATTGACCTACAGTGCATTGAAAACCGATTAATCCCGTAACAGGCCGTTTTTGTTCCATTTTTGTTCCATTTTGGTTTTTTTCTGGTCTGTAAGTCAATTCTCAGGCTGCAAGTCAAACCTAAATTTTGCGGCCAGAGAAGTCTGTAACTCAAAAAGTCTGTAAGTCAAGGGTCCACTGTATGTTATCTGATTCTAATATTCCAAGGTATTTATAATATTCATCACTTGAGAGTGATTTTATAATATTGCCATTTTAAAAAAATTCTGTTCCATCTCGTTTTTGGACCTTGCCACGATGTATAGACAGAGCTGCACATCTGTCAATTCCAACTTTC